CCCTTGTCCGGGGGTCACCGGTAGGTGGCAACTTTTTTAGATATAACTATAGTCACAGGTAACCTGGGTGCAGAACCCTACGAGCCCGACGCCCGTCCAAGAGGGGGGGGCGGGGTCACTGCTCCCAGGCAGGAGCCCTGTGTTATAGGTAGGATTAGATGTAATCAAGAAGATGACAACTAGCATTAGAATAAAACATAGAGATAAGGGACACTCTATTGGAAAGGGAAAAGTGGCAGAAATCACTTACAACAAACTGCAAGTCCCACTAACAAGAATATTCAGCACCAATGAAGGTTTTAAAGTAATCTGTAAAGATGACTTTGATTCAGATAAAATCCTTTCAAAAGAAGCAAGAGATATATTTTACAATGAAGGCCTTATTGTTGTTATGCCACCAGAACAAAAAGCAAAAAGATCAGTTTTTGTTCGTCAAGTCGACCAAGAGATCGGGAGGAAGACATCGGAAGACCTGAAAGATGAACTGGAACGCCAAAATAGGTGGATGAAGATTGAAGAAGTCATTAAGATAAAGGACTATACTCATGTTTTTAAGATTACTTTTGAAGAAGTGTCAATGGCTGAAAAAGTTTTACAACAGGGCTTTCTAATATTCAACATGTCAGTCACACCACATCAAATAAAGAAGGAGACATTCATCAGTCTGCAAACTTACTTCTCCTGCTACAAATATGAAGAACACACAACGAGAGACTGTCCGGAAAAAGAAAAAAGTACTGCTCAGATTGTGCAGGCGACGACCATACCTACACTGAATGTAAGAATACACATGTTGGCTGTCTCAACTGTAAGAGAAACGGGAATGTATACATAGGACATAGGACGTTAGCAATGGCATGCCCAATAAAAAAAACACATGATAAAGTACAAGGAACAAGAAACAAGGAAAAAGGAACAAGACAAGAAGGATACGACATACGTCGAAATAGCAAAGAGAGCGGTCCAAGAGGCTCATAGACCAGAATCCACCATATTAAACCTAAGTGAGCCAATACATGATAAGGTAATGATTAGTATGATCCATGCACATTTGCACAACATCATTGCACCCGGATCATACAATGAGGAATTAAGGAAAATGTTTAAATTGAATAACCTACCAGAGATGATATTTCCAGAGAATCCACAATCCGAAAAACTATTTCAGAACATATGCAAGCGAACTGAGAGAAAGACTACATCTAGACGAACAAAGGTTTGAGCAAGGAGCAACAGCTGATACACAAGGAACACAAGCGACTGATAGAGATCCCAGACAAATGACTAGAAGTGACAAAGAGAAGATAGAAATAACAAAAGGACAGACTATAAGACAAAGGAGTAGGAGGAGAGAAGATAAGATGGAAACTGATCGCAATATACAACCTGAATCTGCTGAAGAAATTGGATTAAAAGTTATCACTACAACAAAACATGGAATCCCAACATCGAGACCAACAGGAGGGACAATAGTAAAAAACTGTGAAGGAGGGATATACAAGTTGACATATCAAGAAAAATCCTTAAGTGAAGATTATGTCTGGTCACTAATTACTACGGACAAACTAAAGATTACGACCAAAGACTTTAAAATAGTAGACCCGTCAGAGTTTAGAAGAGTCAGAAGCGGGAAACAGGATGATAGGTCTCCACTTCAACAGTCACAATCCAAGTATAAGAAATAATGGACAACAGACAAACAGTAAGAACTTTAAGAATAATACAACACAACGTAAGAAACTGGAAGACCGAGAGAATTAACCTAAGTAATATATATCAAGAAATTGACCCTGACATTATACTAATAAACAGTCACGGTGAGACAGAAAACAACAACATAAAACTCTTTAACTATTATGTAAACCAAAGAAATAAATCGGGCGAGAAAAATGACGGAGTAGCGATAGCGGTTAAAAGAAACTTAAAATTTAAACTAATTAATGACTTCCAGGATGAATTTCTAGCAATAAAAATAAATACAACTCAAGGAGACGTAATTATTGCTACTACTTATCTCCCACCGAGACGACCCTACTTACCTATAGAAGACCCACAAATTAAGTTAAATAATAGTCATCCGGATGTACATTCTAGAGACTTTAATCGTCAGTAATCAGCTGACCCCGGGAGAGGGCCCTGAGGACGCCTCCGTGCATGGCATGGAAATGTGACCCTCACAGGGATAACGGCGATACCAGGGTCCCTTACAGGGACAATGACGCCTTCTGGTGTGTTCCCAGGGACGGCGACGCCCCCAGGGGCCTTACCACAGCGGTGGCGCCTTCAGGGGTCCTTCCATAGGTGGTGTCTCCCCCAAGGACCCTCTTTGGGGCTCCACTGCCCACAAGGACCCTGCCAGGGGCTGCGGCGCCCCTATGTGCCCTCCTACGGATGGTAGCGCTGCTGTGGGCCCTCCTAGTGGCAGTGGGTATCTTTCCAGGGGCGGCAGCGTCTCTGCCAAGGGCCACGGCGCTCCCAGGGGCCCTTCCACATGCAGCATTGCCCCAAGAACGTCATAGTATTGTCGTACATTTTGCTTTCGTTCAGTAATCCTTTACTTAACTGTGATTGGTGGAGCAAGATGTAACGTCATCAAATTACAGCCAATAGGAGAACAGAGCACTCAGTCAGCACAACACCCTTACTTATGCTTTGCTGTTGGATATTTATTCTCGTTTCACTATTTTTAAAATTCTGGGAGATATGAGGGTAAATAAGTACACCGCCCATCGCATTTTCAATATTATAGCAACCTTAACAATGAAACGGAGAATAAATATCCAAATACAAAA